AAATTCATGGAGCATTTTCTGGGTGCTCACACTGATGTATGCCTCCCAGCATTCTTAACAGATGAAAAGACAGAGTAAAATGAAGGGTACACAGCTGCTGCCACCTTTTACGTGTTAACGATGCATGTAGTTGGAAACATCCGGGGCAGCGACTCACAGCTGACTTTTGCACATATGAACAGAGATACATTAGAATGGCTAATTGTATAAAATTACTAAAATATTCAGGAGCTTTCAGAGCCAGTCTCTGGAAATTTATTCGCCTAAAGCAGCAAAAGCATCAAATTTCACTCTGTTATTGAATGGCTCTGTATGCGTGCATGTGCTGGCGTGTGCTCGACTTGCATGTTTGTGTTTACATCTTCTGTATCTTGGATTTGCAGGGAAGGGTGGGAAAAAGAGCACAATGCAAACGACACAGGCTGCCTTGAACCTGATCGATTCCTGCTTCAAGCTCACAGGGGAAATTATTTGTCGTATGGAGCACAAACAAAGGCAAAAAAAAAAGAACAAATGAACAAATAACCAAGTCTGACTGATGGAGAGGTGGAGTAAATTGGCTCTTGGCACCTACATCCAATTTCTCTTTGTTCACTTGGAATTCTGCCTCTAGGGTGGAGCCAAAAAATTCAAGCAGGCCTAGTGGCTAAGGGACAGCTCTCAGCACAACTTCAGAATAATTTAATTAAAACAGGAAAGAAACAATCATTGAAAAAGTCGTGTTTTAAACTGCAGCATCTTTTAACAAAGAGGTACATTTGTACTTTTGAGTCTGGCTTTCGCTGCGAGGAGAAAGGCAAACTTTTCATCACTCAAGAGCACACCAGTGAACTTGTGCACCATCTCAGACTGTGTCTGATTCTAAGACTCGTCACATGGAATGCAATACTGAAACACATTTAATTAACAGAGAGCAAATTAAATTACTTAAAGAAAGGGCAGAGACGCAACCTTGAAGCATCTGTTGTCTTTGTAATTAAAAGTCCCTCTTTGTCTCTTAGTCATCAGGCATCTCCCAGCGGCTATGTTACAGAACATATCTTCAGTGGAGCACAAAAAAAACTCTTACAGACAGCAAATCTTCTAGACAAAACCACCAGCAACTTTCCAACTTTAAAAATGGCACCTTCTTTTAACTTACAATTAAAATACATTTAATCTCCAGACCTGATCCTGCACCATTAGAAGATTTGAATTTCATCTAAAGGGGAAGATTTTTATTAGTGGGACACCAGAAGCCTAGGCTCGTTAACTCTTTTTTTTTTTATGAAGGGTACTATGCTGTCATGTGTGATCATGCTATAAAAATTCAGGCATTTTATTTGTTTAAAAGGCAGTGAGAGTTAGAGGTTTTTTAAAATTCATCTTTTGGGCTTTTTCTGTTATTACATAGTACAGTGAAGAGGAAGCAATAAAGAGAGAGGGAGCCACCGAGGGCTAACAGGTCAAAGTGGAACCCAGGCTACTGCATTTAGCTTTGCAGCATATTTTACATCTTACATAATCTATTCAGACTTCATTATACATCACAATTCTAAGGAAATAATATTGGTCAGCAGGCTAGCAGCATAACTCTGTGAATGTACATGTAGGTGTAGAGGTGAATTCTCCTGACTTGAACTTTTCCTGTAGTACTACCACTAACTTTACAAGGGAAATACTTTGAATTTGTTACTTTAGTTATAACTCTGCAGGTCACCATTAATCTGGTCAAAATTTTTGATTCTCCAACGCTCTGTTTAGCTAAATATTAGCATATTGGAATGATGACATCAGCCTTAAGCTAAATCACAGCCGCGTTGATGTTCAGCAGCCTTTATATGACTTCATGTGTACCACTGAGACAAGTTTGGCCATTTCAAACAAAACAGAGTTTGTCTTTTCTTTGTCTTTTCTTTTTTTGTGTGTGCTTCTCTTGATGTTGCATGAAGGGAAAATCATGAATCTATTTTGTTTTTGTGAAGTTAAGCAGTCTTATTACCATTTGAATGCAGTTCAATGAGTATGTCAATGAATAAGTGAATACGTCACAGGTCAAAGCCACTTCAGTACATACAACAGGAGGAAAATGAGTCAACCTTCAAAGGCACTTTAGCTTTTTTTTTTTTTTTTAGCAATAAGTGAAGGCATCACTGTTCATTTTTGATGTTGTTTAGGCTGCCTTCAGATCAGTAACACATTCAGCCCTTTACTAGGTGGAACTGTCACTTTCAGTTCAGAACAAAACTAGCCTGCACCTGCACTGCACAGGAGCTTAATAACTCAGCAGCAGGCTGTTTACATCAGACTTATTAGATTGTTTCTGTCACTTTCACAGTCTTTAAATAGACAAAGAAGACAAAAATGGAGCATACTGTGTGTCTTTGTGGAGCATCCAATGGCGCTCTCAGCCACTAGTTAGTGGTGCTCCACTGATAAAATCAACTGAGTAATCAAGTGGCAAATGTAAGTATGTGAGTATGCTAGTATGAGTTGAGGTTTATTGATAAAATTATTAATGTAGGAAACACCTACATTCATATAATGACCAAGTATATTCCTGATCTTCATCATTTCTCTCTTCCCTCTTACCTGAAATGCATGGGGTGTGTCGTCCACACAGTAAACCCTGAGGGTGAAGCCCAGAGAGTTGCTGGCATCCGGACTACCAAACACAGCCAGCCTCAGACGCTTGCCTGCCTCCTGATTCAGCGGCTCCCCCACCAGAGCGTAGCGACCTGGATGCTCCAACAGCACATGGCACTTCTGGGCCTCCAGCAGACAGTAACAGGAGGTGCTCTCCTCGTCTACAGACATCACTTCCTTTGGTGGTAGGGACATAAAAGGAGACTAATTTAGGTCCAGGATTAAATGTAATATGCTTTTTCTTACTTTGGTTATATTATGCATATATGCACACATGATCCACTGCATTGGTGAATACTCATATTAAACACGGCCAGAGTTTCAAACACTGATATTTGCATATCTTCAAGTAAGCCCTGTGAGCCAAATGCTCTGGCTACAGAATGTTTGAACACTCCAAGTCACACAGGTTTTTTTTGACTCTTGGCTCCGTATGATGTCAATGAGAGCAGATAGCTCTGGCTGTGAGTAGAAGCCTCACCCACCTGCTGCTCAAACCCTCTGTTTGCAAGGGGTAGTCAGTTGGAAAAAAGCTTGCTTAAAGGAAAAGTGGAGGGAGCTAAAACAGCTTGTTTCAGACAGAGGATTAACTGAGGGGCTGCAACGAGGCACAGTATAAGTTAAATAAGTTTATTTTAAGCTGTCAGTCATGCAGAGGAACTCTAGTAGAGTCCAAGGATAAAAATATGGAGGTGTTAAGTAAAACGACTTTAGTGGCTTAGTAGTTAAACATAAGAACACTGTAATATTGGAATTCTGTCATACTCGTGATTTTTGATGCATCCTGAGTGATACTGTTGTTGAAAACGGGTTTCAGGAGGTGAACATTTTTTTAATGTGTCTGTCCAGTACAGTCTCCTTTTTATTTTTTCTCTCTGTTGGCAGGCACCTGCCTTCAGCGACGCATCTTTCGATAGCTTAATTTTGAATAATGTGTCTGCTGACAAATTAAATCTATATAAATGTCACGAGGCCTGAAAGGACCCGGCTGGTAGCGCGTCACAGACCCCCAAGGTCAAGCAAAGGTCTTAGTAGCTCCAGGGCATAGTGCTCTTAAATTACTCTCTCTTACTTTCAGTAATGCATTTCACTTGTTAATATGAAGACACCACTTGACTCTGCATCACTGTGCTCAGCTGTGCTGCAATCATGCATGCTATATGTTTTTTAGTAGTGCTGACTGTAATGCACATAACTTCTTTACAAACCTGCTTTAAGTTTACAAACTAAAAGCTTAACCACATCCAGCCTGTATTGGCATGATTAAGGCAATAGTTGTAAGCTGACTGCTTGGACATTATCTTATTGGCCACCATGTAGAAAATAAAGACAAATAAAGACTTTGAATGGTCATGCAGTTAACCAACAATTCACGGGAGCCACCGATCAGCGTGTTTGCATTGCTGTTAGGCATTTTATTAAGACACTTTGCAGACAGTGACTTGGAATCTCTCCCTCGTACATAGACTTAAACAGGACCAGGAGCTGTGCAAAGCTGAATGACGGCCAAATGAATAATGACACATCTCACTAAACAGATGGGGATACAGTAACACTGACAAAACGGATTAGTGGGGCACAGTTGTATCCAACGGCCAATTGCTACTCATCTTGTGCTCAATTCTCCCTAAATCACCTTTGGAACATAACTGTGACCCACAGGTCCCCTCTGCATATGGCCTGGCTGAGGCATATAAAGCAATGTAGGGTAATTTAGTGTCCCATAGCTTCCTAAACCTGCCCCATTAGCGCTGGAGCAGACATGAAGGATCTCCATGACATAGCTCATCCCCGCCAGGCAGGCAGGGAAAATGATAGAGTCAAAATCTAGTGTACCAAAGTGCAGACTTTAATGGGAATGGCACTGAGAGGCAGACACAGTGAAATAGAAGCGGAGGTGGAAGAAGGAAAGAGAGAAAGAAAGAGTGGAAGAGGAACCTCCATCTCCCATTATATCACTAATTCCAGAGATTAGGTTTTGAGTAAGCATCCTGTCTGCGATAAAGGCCTCATTATTTCTCAGTGACAGAGATGGTCCACAGCTTTACATTCAAAGAATCTCTCTGCCGTTCTGCCAGAGCCTACCTCCCCCTTTCTGTCTGTTGAGTCCTTACTCTTGTTTTCTCTCCTCTCTGCTGGCATATAGCTCTCACCAGTGATAGGTCTTTTGATAGCTTCCTTTTGAGAAATGCGTGTGCTGACAAATTACATCTGTGCAAATGTCACGCAGAGTGAAAGGACCCGGCTGGTAGAGAGTGACAGACCCCCAAGGTCAAGCAAACTCGGTGGCTCCGGGGTCGCTCTGCCTCAATGAGGTTCTTAGAGGTTTTTGATGAGGTTAGTTAAACATTAAAAAGATCTTAGAAAAGATCTCCGATGTGTGTACTCTGCCAAGAAAACACAAGAAAATGAATAGAGGGTGTTTGGAGTGGAGGTGGATGTCTGAGTGTTCTTCTGTGAGTCTGTGAAGTAGCTCTATAGGGTGGAGTGGAAGGGCTTTTCAGAGGGGTTATTACACTGAAAGACCTAAATAAATGGAAAAAAAATTCCAAAAAGTAGCAATCACAAGAATAACACATTTAGAGCAGCAACGTCTTAAATCTTTTAAAAAGCACCTTTGCTGGTTTTTATCTGGTTTTGACCTCATGTTGAAGTATCTGTCTTACATCCAAAAGAAATGTCAGACCAAATGCAAATGACGCATGAGGTAGAGCTTGAAAGGCTAAATTTTATGCAGAATGACAAATCTAAGCTGGCAACCCTGAAATCAGCTCCTTGCCTGCATGACTACAGTTCAGGAAGAAAATTTTCATCAAAGTAGGTCGAAGCAGTTTATCTGATCCTATTGATATTCTGGGCACTAGCGAGAGATGTGTGCTTGTACTTGTTAGCATTCTGCACTTATGCCACAAGAGGAAATTCAAACATGTTAACTACAGGTGAAGGGTAACAGAATTTGCTCACCTCCCACTTGTTGTCTTGGATGTGTCTCTTTAGGCGGATGGTCCAATTATCAGCAGCAACTTCTGCACAATGGGCTATGGTCATGGCTATTGGATAGGAGAGGTCAAGGCCTGGTGGGCCGTATGTCACTGCAGGGCTCAAAAAGATCTCTGACCCATCGTCGGACACGGTACTGTAGAGGTAGAGAAACATATGATTAGAAAACATTTATGGTAAACTTCATGTTTGATCTGTGATCGTGTTAATGAAGCTGGATGGGTTTGTTACAAGTTTTTTAACAAAAACATGAATCACTGCTTCAACAAGCTTTCAGAGTGTGACCCTTGCCTATGAACAAAGTAAACTCAAATCCTTGGACACTCATAATGAATCAATTGCTGACTAGATGACACACAGACACACAGATAGAGGGAGATTAAAGCACCAAGACTAATGGACAGTGAGGCTGGGGAGGACAGGCTTTAGCACAGTGCGTGTAAGCTTTGTGGGTCGATGGAGCTTATGAAGCCTGCTCAGGCCAGTCCGGTGACAGATGAGCCAGGCCAAGCTGCTCTTGGCCAGGAGCCCAATCTTGGCTGGAAGCCCCGAAGACTGAGAGTAATCAATGGGACCACCATCAGTCATGCAGCTGCCCTGGGTGGACACCTCACATACACAGGACACGATATTGGTGCTGTTGTCACGGGCACAGCGTGGATATTTCTCAGGGTCATTAATACAGCTGCAGCGGGGAATGACCATGACAAGCCAACACAGATGCATTACTAATGTGTAAGGCGTGAATGGGGCACCACACATCTGTACAAATATGGAAAACACCAACACACACTGAAAGTACAATTTCTATGGATGGCGCCTCTCATGTAAACACATGAGCTACAATGGCCCTCGAGTGCAAAAGACTATGTCAAAAAAACAAAACAAAAAACACAACAGTGGAACAGAAAACACAAGATACATGTGACAAAATATGGGTGCCTGTCGGTGTATACCCCTCAGCCTTTTAGTAGATGCATGTATGGTATACGGCTGAAAATCCTTTGTGAATCTCAGAAAAGCTAACCTCTGATCTTCACCTTGAGGTCATCTGAGATTTTTAGTAGCTGCATCTATGGGATGAATTTGAAAGTCTTTTGTCGCCTTGTTCTTGAGATATTCACACACTTGGGTGTCCACACAGCCCACCAGCCTGCCCAGCGACAATACCTACAATTTTTTGGCCAAAGGGTAAAAAATTATTTTGTTTTTGAAATGCTGTTGAATTTTGTCAATTTTTTTTGGCGTTATTGTGTTTTGTGTATTGTGTGTAATGTAGTTTGCGATCTTAGCAGCAACCGACTCGTGTATAACTAAGCAAAAAGCTACGCCCAAATTATATTCTGATTGTGAGCAAATATTTTTACAAAGTCTTTTTTAGAAGCAGGTCTTGGCGCTTGGCAGGCTTCTTGAGGTATTTATTATTAGTGTAAATTACGCACGTTTGCTTTTTTTTTTTTCTTTTTTTTTTTTCTACACCAGATGCCTTCCTGACACAACCCCAAGGGATCTCCTCCTGGGATCAAACCTGTGACTTTTTGCTTGTGAGGCAAATTTGTCAACGACTACACTAATATAAGTTGTCCCCCCAGACAGCATGTAAATGAACATGAATCATATCTGAGGCTTAATAAATTTTTATTCCCCCTGAAAGTTCCCACTCCCACTACTATCTCTGCTGTCGTATAAATCTGCTACATTAATTCAGGATCCTCTGAGTGTCATGGCCCCCCTCACACAGTGACTCTGACTTTTTGGAACATTTAACTGGCAGCGGCATTGCAAAGTTGAAGCTGACTTCTCATTTTTAAGTGTTAAGCGTATGCACTGTTAGCAAGTAAAGTTATAATGAGCATAATTTAAGCCACAGAAACAACAAGTAAATTTAGTTTTGACAGATTTAATTCAAAAAACAGCACCTGAGTTGGAAGACGATTGTTTTTTTGTTTTGTTTCTTTTTTAGTTTTCCAGCCTGTCCAGCAAATTACCTGTAAGATCAACCTTTTTAGGTGACGCATGGTGTAAGACGGTGTGTGTATGTGCCTGCATGCAGACAGGGTATGATGTGTGGTTGAGACTGTTCACCTCCTGTTATATTAACAGTTTCTGGTGCAGTGTGATGTGTGAAGCTTTTTTCAACCCTCTCCATTATGCTGTTACCAATCAACACTAAAAAATTAAAGAGGTTATGATCTGCGGTCTAAAAATAAAATCACACATCGCAGTAGCACCTTGGCCTGCAGCTGCACTTTTGTGCTAATCAGCCCTTAGCTATGAGGAAACCAAGGTTACCTACTGCTGAGACTAATTACCTGGATTGCCTGCGAGCAAAGATTAAAGATGGTTATTTAGCAACTCTGATTGTTTACATGCGAACAAAGAAATATCATTCCATGATGATGGTTGTGTGTATTTTAACAGTGGAGCCTTGTCTCATACTCACACTTCTTTTCTTTTGGTTTCAACAAAACAACATCCAGTGTAATGCAATCATCTTTTTTTTCTCAGGTCACACTTGCAAATCATATTTTCACAATTCCTTGTTAGTGTTTGACAGTCTTTCTTTCAAGCTGTCACAGCCGCATGGCGTTTGACGGAATTGCAGAAACAGAAGTGTCCTCATTAGCTGGAATTTTAGCTAAAGGAGGCACTCTGTGGAAAATACAAGCAAGTTGTTATCGGATCATGCAGATTATTTTTGTTATAGTCAGAAAAAGTATTTGTGGTAAAAATCTAAAATTAAAGCTATGCAATGGCTGCATGTATACCAAGTGTGCAGTGCTAGTGCAGTTTTACAAAATGTTTTTTTCCACATCTACTATAATATTCCTCACTATAAAACCATCAGATGTTAAAGGTAGGAAACCAAGTGACAAGTCACAGGATAAGGAAAAGGATCTTAAAGTTTTATAGAAGAATATATAACAAAAGGCACTGCTGGAAGGAAGCAGGAAACTCCACGTTGAAGATTAGAAGAAGCAGGAACAAAGGTAAGTGACACAGTGATGTGACAAAAACACACAGACAAAACGCACAACATGGGAAAAGTGGTAACAAAGCACAGGTGAACTCAAGTAGGCACTAATGAGGGCGGAAAGAGATCTAAGGGAGGATGTGAAAATAATAAACCTAATGATGAAAAATTAAATGAAAATTAAATACAAGGACGTAATTTAGGCTAACAAACAAGATGAAGCAGAGAAAGAAAGGAAACCAGAGAAAAGTCAACCAGAATGTCGGTGTGTAGTAGCTCATCCAGCTCATCATCCATCGCAGTTCATAGGTTACTGCACTAAAAAAAATGACAAATATGTCATGTCTGTGTGAAGGTAGGCAGGAATGGTGGACCCAAGAGCAGGACTCACAGAGGCAAAAGTGAAATAAAAATAAACAGCTTTATTGCAGGTTGCTGACTGAACAGAAGACCAACTATACTGGGGAAAAAATAAGCAAACCAGGTACCAGAACACACAGCAAACTGAGTGTGAGCAGACGTTAACAACACAACAGACAGCAAAGGAAAACACAGGGCTTATATACACTGGGGCGTAATCAGGGAATGGGAAACAGGAGGGAGACACAGCTGGGAGAAATTAGACTAACGAGACAGGGGAGAAGTAAAACTGAACACACTGACATCAGACTGGGACTATCAAAATCAAACAGGAATCACGAAACAAATCACAAAGACGCAGACTTTGACACTGAGAGGCAGACTGAAAGAATATAACACATGGAACCCAGAGACAACAGAGACTTAAAGAAGAATTAACATCAAACTGAACTCATGACCAGAACCAAACTGAAACCTAGAATAAAAATAAGCAAAACAGCACATCTCAAGAATCAGAACATAAATCATAATCTAGAAAAACACCACAATATAAGAAACAGAAAATGCTGGGTCAAAATGACCCAGACAAAATATGACTCAGACCTCGACACAATCTTAGGCCTTTGATAAAAACCCTGTAGGTGACCATGGTTTGAAAGTTAGCCAGACTTGTACAATGACATCTTGCCAAGGCATCAAGTTCATCAGGATGTAAAATTAAGGTAACAACGGAAGCCATGACAAAGACTTCAAGATTTAAGGTAATGTGAATCTCCTTTAATATTTTGTGCAATGTAAGTGTATTAATGCCAGAAAATGTAAAAACTTATTTTTCTGACTCCCACTCTCATTAGAACAGTTTTCATCAGCTTTACCATAATTACTCATTGTCAGAATTACTCATTGTCTGAGTCAGTGTGAAAAATAAAAAGGTTAAAATCCTAAAATCCACATTTCCATCATGCATTAAAAATAGTAATGCATGATGGAAATGTGGATTTTAGGAAAGAAGGAAGAGGGAAGGATCATTAGGGTTGTCTGAGGGTGAGTTTTGTAGGTCGGGCAGGTTAGATACGCACTGGTAGATTGACTCAACCAAAAACAAGTGCCAATCAAATTTTAAAGTTTGTGTAGTCTGATATAACTGACACCACAGAGCAATAACTGCCTGCCTCGTAAATATGCTTGAAACTTTTGCAAGATGCAGAGTATCAGGTGCATTTTGTCCTTGGACAACTCACTGTCCCCTGCTGAGCTGAAGAAGATCACACACAAAACAACCTCGTGAAGCCCAGAGGATGGATGGCAGCTATCGCGAACACATGAAACTGAGCCCCAGCTGATCGATTCCTATTCTTTGCAGAGGAAAGCATCGTCTTATGTAGATGGCTAAGGTTTGAATGGGGAGAAAGCATCCAATTTCTCCCCTGGACTCTGTGGCTGTCAGAAGATAGGCTTTGAGTGACAGCTCAGTGGTGCACGGCTCCTGCAGCTTCTTAAGCGGCAGCCAGAGAAGTAAACAGCATCGGGCTTATCAGAGCAAAGCAGGAGCTTGGAGGGCAACAGTCTGGCTGAATTGGGGAGACTTAAGGCAGGGGAGTGTGCAACCAGTCTGCTAACTGAGCTCTGTGCCACAACCTATATGTGACCTTTGATATGCTCCCTCTCCCACGTGACCCCAGGCACTAAATGGGTGGGTGGAAGTAAGGTGAAAAGACAGCTGATATTTAGATATCCCCCCCTTGGATGTAGAAATCCAATTTCATCGAGAAGCACTGGTGGTTAGCGGTGTGGTTGGGGTGACAGCTAGCTAGCAGGGCTTCACGCAGTCATACTGACATGTTGATACTGTCTGCTGTGAATCAAGAACATGTCCAAACACTGACATCTGGTTGTCAGATAGCGTCCAAAGCTCTGCTGCATGGAATCCAAAGGTATTACAGCCCTTTTGCACCGAGTTATTATCTATCAAGCCCTTTTTTTCCTCAAGTGATAGCTTTGCGAGAAATAAGAAAGTTACAGAAATAGATTTCTGCTTGCAGGTAATAGTCACCCAAATTCTGACACATGCCCATGACTCTATCTCTGTCTGCCTAATCAATATAACCCATCATCATGACTTCACTAAGTTCATCACTCTAACCAGTCAAAATGGAGAGAGATATTGTCACAGTTACGTTTGCAAACACAAAACGGTCTACTAGAATCACGGAGCGTATCTTCTTCTGCTATGACAGTTGCTTAAGGCAGTAATGCAATCTGTCTACACCTGCCAATGTATTTTGTGACACACCATGTCCTCCCCTGTAGTGTCTGTGAGATAAGCAAGGACCGCATGCTGTGTGGGAATATGTGCATGTGCATGTGTACACTACATGTCACAGCGTAGCCTTCATAAGAAAGGTTTTGTGTTTGTGGCGCTCATTCGGCAAAGTGAGGAGGAGGAGGGGACGAGGTGGCAGGATGAGGGATGAGGAATGTGTTGTTGAAGGATTAAAAGAGAGCAGACTAGGAAGCATACAGCACCATCTCAGTGAGAGTCCCTCACCTGCTGTCCTCCTGGTTGATGCTCATGTACATCTCCCAGGTAGTGTCTTCTGCAATCCCCCCGTGAGGCACCAGCAGGCTGATACCTGCAGAGAAGGAGGCATGCTGATCAACAAACAAGCAGACATGCACACTTATGACACACACCTGCTCAGCTGTCAGGTCTGTTTAGTGAAGGTGACAGCCAGAGGGGTGACGGGCCCCAGAAAAAGGTCGCCAGAGCAAGTCCCCTTGTGATTCGATGCTGGCAGCGATCTCTTAGTCACAAGCATGCACAGAAGCAGGCATCACAGACATCCTTTCCTCTTAAACACAAAGACATATGCATAACATTCTACTGTATCATAAACAATTACTGCCAATCTAGCAGTACATAAAGCCCCTCAGGGGACACAATGATGAATGTAGGCCAAGAGAAAGAGCTGCCTGCATAATGCAATAGACTGAGCAGCACATTAAATACACTTGTTTATATTTTTTCGGCACGCATTAGGTGCTTTAAAATGTTCCTAAAATGCTTTAAAAAAGTAATTTATTTGAGGAAAACGTTTAGTATTTTTTGTGATCAAAAACATTTTCCATACTTTGCAGGTAGGGACCGAATGGCTAAAAATGCTAGTGCTTTTTAACTTCATCATTTTGTAAATAATATTTCCATAATCATGTTGCCTACTCAGTATGTGACTTTTTTCCTCATTTTTGCTACCGATCAACTCTGACAAGGTTAAACAACTTAAAAAGTGCAAATGAGAACAACTTGTTTTTATAGTTTCTATCCTCTGTGAATGCTAGCTGAATTTGGAGGAACTGAAGTCGACACATGCTCTTCAGCAGGAAGATATTGAATGATAATTGCCTCATCGTACACTCACCTGTGTTGGGTACCACGAGCCTGCCTCCAGCATGGCCAAACACTGCAGTTGCTCTGTGCAGAGGCAGGCGGGGAGTCAGAGAGACGTGTGGACTGAAAAGGTTTTTGCCTCTTCTGCCCAGTGTTGTCCCCACTGCAACCCCTCTATAGTCTGGAGCCAGTCCCCTTGGAAATGTCTGAGGGTGGGACATGACGTGGTACTCTGCCCTTTCCGTCACCCCTGAGGATACAGTGAAAGCTCTGTGACATTAGAATTTGAGTAGCTTTAACGCATTTTTTCAGGTCCAACAGTCAAACATCCAATAGTAGGAAAACATCCCTTTAAAGCTTGCTCTTGACTGCAAAACTAATCACTCTGAAACTGTTTACTAAACCCCTGCTCTAAACATTAACTGTCCAGCCAAAGCTTAGCAAAAACCCAACTAACAAGTCTCAAGAACCCTGTCACTGTCAAGCTTTTTGCCTCAAGGTAAAAAGTGTATGCCTGGGGCTGTAGTAATTGCAACACTCTGCACTTAAAAGAGTTTGGAGGGTGGAGTCTTTCATTTATCCGGAACAAACCCATAAAGACAAGAGCAATGGGGTTTAAATTGTGTGTCTATCTGCTGTAATGTAAGCTGGCACAGTCTTCTGATCATCATTAGCAAATTCTGATAGTATGTAGTCAAATGGAGATATGACTTTAATAAGAATATTTTTCTTTATAAAATCACACTAAGTACAATAAAAAGGCTCTTGTTTTTCTACATTTCTGACAATGACTGTATTAGACTAAGCATCTACTTTTTTATACACTTCTGTCTAAGCTAAGGACCAATTATTTCAAAGATCACCCTAATTTTGAATGCTAATCATGCCACCAAGGGAATAAAAGGCAGCAACCAGCACTAACAAACAACAACATGAAGTGTTGAATGTCTAGTTTGTGATGCACTGAAAGTTGACTTTCCTAGAGACTGCCTTAGGAAAAAACCGATCCAAAGTAAGATTATCTGCCCTAGTGCATCCACAGAGCCGTTCACTTCTCTGTGAGACTTGCCCTTTCAAAAGTAACTGAGTACCACAGACATGGACTTTCATAAGAGTTCTGTTTTCTAACCTTTAACCTTAAGATCAGGCAACGGGTCAAGGAGTGAGCGCTCAGCCATTAGCTCCTTGTCAATGGAGTCCTGAAAACACATGGGGCTGGTGTAGGTACGTGACACTGTCAGATCAGGTTGCATGGATGAATTAATAAGCAGAGGATTTGCTGAAACACACACAGAGAAAAAGCAAATGAATGTCAGCAATTACACATGAGAGCCCACATCATCAATAAAAAAACAAAAACAAAACAACCTGAAGAGTATGTCATCACAAATATGTTTTCTCTGTCCGTGGCTGTTGCTGTAATATAATGAAAGAAAGACATATCTTAGTGTGACTCACTTAGAAGTGACACTGTTATTGATTTTTTCTATTCATTTTCTACTGATAACCCAATTTACAGCTAGCTCCATAGGTTTGTGGACAACACCTCAGTGAATTTTGAATCAAACAATCAAGATGTGACTGAAGTGCAGACTGTGAGCTTTAATTGAAGCATCAACTGTTTAGTTAAGTAATTACAATTATTTCTTTTAATACATATACTCCATTTTGAAAGGCTAAAGTAATTAGACCAAAGTAATTAGATAATTGACTGACAAACCAGGTCAAGTAAGACCTGTCCCCTCAGTTTTTCTAAGACAGATTATGCAGATAATCATCTTAATTATGCAGAAGATGATTTCAAATGCTGAAATTATGTTTGGAACTTTCCAGATGAGGCCCCTAAAAGATTTTGATGTAAGGTTAAGGTTGTCATTAGGTTGAAAAAAAAAAAAATAAAATAAAATAAAAGAGAAGGGTAGCAATTTTTTTGGAATATTATTAAACACAGCAAAAGGCCTCAAAAACACAGAAAACATTTAATGTGGATCGTAGAATTCTTTGAATGTTTAAGAAAAACATTGAATCAAATCAAGAAGATTACCAAGAATATTATAGAGGAACCAGGCATCATTGTCCAGTTAAACCAGTTAAAACCACTGGTTTACTCAAGAACAGGAAGGCCAAAATAAAGCCAAAATTAACTTGCACAAGAATGATGGGATTAGTAAAGTTTGGAAAAGGAAAGCAAGAGCTGGATGCAATTATGAAATGGGCATGTATACACATGCTTTAAAGCTACTGAAGACAAACCTGAAGTCAGAGAGACCACAAACAAGCAGCAAGTAAATAACTTATTCAGAAATTCTTAAATCTGCCCCTAAAGAACACCCACCATATTCTAATAGTTAGACTAAAACTGACACTGAAACCGATGCATTCTAAGCTAAAACTAAACTGAAAACACTGATCTGACTCTACAATCTAACTGAAGAAAAGAATAAATAACAGAGATGTTCTCACACTGGTTACTTTTCAGTGCTGTACATAAACCGACTGATTAACACACATCACAGTGATATGGTACTGTGTAATATACCTGTATGTCCCAATATTTGGGATAAAGGAAGTATGTCTTATTCTTCTTATGTCTTTATAAGACATTAGAATATATTAGATACTTTAATAGCAATAACTGCTGCATCAAACAAAGCAGCATTTTTGATCAATACATGAGCAACAACAATAATACGATTTATCGGCTGTGTTAATGAGTTTACATAAAGGCCTGTGTGAGAAGAATTTCTGTGGACATTTGAATCAGTCAGTGTGACAAGTGATCCAGCTGTGCAGCATGTTGCTGATGTAACTAACACTGCTTAAATCTGACTCTAAAAGTACGGATTTCTCATATGACAGCTATGGCTCCTTCATTCTCACATCTTCTCTTCGCATCTCTCTCACTCTCAGATCCTCGCTGGGAGGAACTAAGAGGAGAAGAGATGAAAGTAAAGAAAGGCGTGCAGAGACAATGCCATAATGAACAGCACCCATTGACAGCTGCTTCAAGCAAGCATTAAATAAGACCTGAAGACACTGAGTACACAGTGTGCGTATCTCCTGATGAGCAAAGTACTGTAAATTGGCCAATAATTTTAATGGGTGAGCTGTTATTACAGTTACTCATAATGAAAAACGTGACTGCGAAAAAGTATTGAAATGAAATGATCGTGATGAAATGATAACTGCAGCAGCATACAGCGGGGTGCAACGTGCAAGGAGGGGAGGACATGCAGAATGTTATGGGGGCTTGGCTGTTTTAGCGCCTCTAACACAGTGAACAGGGACCAAGATTAAAGCTTTCCCTGCCTCCTGCTGTGTTATCAAAATGAACTTTATTATGCCCTGCTGAGGGCTGCCGCTGTGGCGACCCATAATGCCAGCCTTGCAAAAATATGCCTCAATCTGCCGAGTAAAACAGCACGCTACGGCGCTCTGATGTTTCTTCGTTTAGTAACACGGGACCGCAAACGCTCCATTGTGGTGCTCAGCAAAAAAAAGAGATAGCGGTAATAAATTACATTTTTAATTTTGCAGACGTGAATTATTAATTGTGGTTTTGTAATAAAATACAATACCAAAAACTGAGACATTATCTGATAACTTTTCAACTTACTTTCAACTAACTTTTCAAGTTATGGTACTTAAGAGGAGGCCTGAGTAATGATAGATATGAGTGAAATTATACATTTGTTTAGAGTGCACAATCTGCTTGTTACCATAAGTTTATTGCTTGCTGAATATGGATGTTTGCAATAAAGTAATAAATGCAATGCATCTTTTATAGGTTAAGCTGTAAGTTATTGGACATTTATTGCACTACAGCACAGACAGAAAAAAAGCTTGAGATGGCTAAAGCAAACAAACAGATAAACTCAGTTCTGGCCCCTAAAGCGTGTTAATAATTAATGCATATATATCGTACAAATAAATGTATTCATATTTCATAAAGATGAATAAATACATATACATAGAAAACTGTATGGCTTGCATAGATCTTTGGTGTTATTTACATAGAATTACCTCATTATGTAACTATTCTACTTGCTTTAGAGTAATTTTTTGCCTTTCTGTTGTTAGAATTTTGTCATAAAGCACTTTGCAGTATTTCTCTTACAAGGTGTACTAGAAACAACATTTTACATTATTTTTATTTGAACGAAAATAAATAATAAACTAATTCCTATTCCAGTTCATCACCATTGAACTTTTGGGTGTGTGTGTTCAGTTATAATAGCCAGCTAAAACGTTAGCAGCAGAGAAAAAAAAGGAAATCAAGGGTCATCATCAATAGTTGTGTCCTAAGCAGCTCTAAAGATGAGGTAAATACAACCTGAGATAAGCAACAATTCATGACATATTACACAGTGTCATTATTTGAACATTATTAACAAAAATTAAACACCCTTTCTGCTTCTATAGGAATTACGAAGGTAAGGAACCACCCAGTGCTATTAATGAAAAGCATTTAGTTGACTGATAATCAGGAAGGGTGATCTCCATAAAAGCAGCAGTTTTGGAAGTTTTCTGCTCTACAGCTTTTAGGTGTTAATACACCTAAATGCTTCATTTAGGATAATAAATTGTTGCTGCCCATCAATCTGGTAGAAAGTTAAACAGTGAAAAAAGTTGAAAACAGACCGCCCAAAGAGCATGCAATGCTAATAGAAGCTACACATAACCCAAGAGCTATGTCTAAGACTCCACGGGGCTCAGTTAACATATCAAATGTTAAAATACGTGACATTGTAATTGGCTTGTTTAGAAATGTCGTGAGGAGAAATTGTCTTCTCTCACTGGAGATATTTGACCAGAATATACAGTGCTATATTTGATAAAACCAAACACCGCAAAATAGCACAAATACCTCACACCAACTGTCAAGAACGATAGTCAAACCAACTGAAATGCTGCAACAGGACCTTGAGAAAGCTGTGTATATACAAGTACCTCCAACAACTAAAAATAATGACATGGTGTAACATGTCATGTGTTGTTCATCAGAGGCTTTATCAACACAAATTTATAACCTGGTGAGGAACAGAGGACTCTGTATTATGTCCTAATATGTAAAATGTTAGAAATGAAAGAGGATGTACTTTCCTTTTTACATGATTGTATGCCTATGTCGTATTCTTTTTCTGTGTTTTGCTTTTATGTGTGTGTTAGAATGGCTATTAATGCCAAAGACAATGCCAACTCTCTGCACTACCAGGCAAAAATTGCAGCTTTAATTTTTAGGGCTTTCTTTGTGGTCTTTTAAACAGCCAAACTGAAATAAAAAAGACAATAAAAGCACATGCAAAATAAAAACATAAAAACGAGCTATTTTGACGCTCTGGTTTATAATATGATGCACTTTTAATTGCACATCCTATTTAACTGTTGTGCATGTTAGCTCCATCTGTGGCAGGGTGGGTGTAGAGCTGTCACAGAGATTTTGTCAGTTGTTATAAACTGCCTTTTTAAGATCTTACTGCAAAGTCCAACAAGCAATTTTTAAAAAATATCTTTACATGGAGATAAGGCTCTTCAAGAGCAAATAAACAGTGTTTACATATTGGAGTTTCTCTGAGTTTCCAATTGCATTGTGTACAATTTGTCTGTGCTTTTAAATGACAAGTTAAAGACTGTGCATATCTTGTGTAATCTTTAAATTCTTCTTTAAATAATCAAAGCTGCAATAGACTTCAACAAATTAACTTCTGTACACTGTTAAGCTAGTTCATATATTGTGCATACAGTGAAATGTCAAAACGCCAAAAAAGATTTCCAACACAACATGAATCCTCAATTTTTACAAGGAGCTTTATAAAGGATGCATATTTGGATTTAAAACCAAATTCAGTTGCCTTTTGCAGGAAAACCCCCAAATCCATCCATTCTTTGCCTTTTTTTGAAAATTTCACATTTCGATTTTTGTACAAAGTTCTCATTTGGATTCAGTGTTTTATGACACAATTTCGAGGGCAAATTGTCTCTGATATTTGAGAGCCACAGTTAATGACTCACCTTGACGAGAGGTCTTGAAGCTGAAGGACTGAAAGCCTCCGGTAAGGGCGGATGAGTCAATGACATCCACACCGTACTCACTCTGGCTCCTTCGGTAAAGAGTGACAGCGACGATGAGCAGTACAACTGTCACCACCCCTGCAGCCAGGCCTGAATACAGGGCAACGTCACTGCTGTTCTCCACACCTTGAAATGTCAGAATGAGTGAAAAAAACAAACAAACGTGACTTTGAATGTTTATATGAACACAATCAACTTTTTGGGATTTCCTTATCTGGATGATTGAGCATGCATCAAGACTTCTTATATTTGCTTTCGAAGTCTCTGTGGTTAATTAGGATGCTTGGAGACATTGTCTCCCAAAATAAACTGGAAATCTGTGTTGCTTAGTAGTGCTTTTATGGAAGTCTCTTAAACCGGGGAAGTCTACCTTGGTTTCATGCTACTTTAGTGCATTTTTTATTTTCTGTTCTTTCCATGATGCACAGCTTCATTGTTCCTTTCCTCAGTGTTAAAGTTACTAATGAGGAACCTTGGAAGGAAGGCGATTATAATCAACCCAGCACCTGACTGTCATTTCAAACACTGCTTGGCTCTGGTGTTGGAGGCGCTCTGTGTTCCACTGGGATAATGTGACAAAACCAATTCATTAAATTAGCTCATCGGCAGCGATTATGCTCTATCTGGTCCCACCAGTATTGCGGCGTCCAACTCCACAAAGCAAACGAATGAGTGGGGAAATAAAGAAGCTGCTAGCTTGTTCTTGAAAGATAATGAGATCTGCACTAAAACAGGACATGCTGAGAAATCCTCTAAGTAGCCTGAAGCTCAAATCAGGAGAAATTGACAAAATATGCAAAGCGGTATTAACAGCTACAGTAGCAGGTTAATTGAGGGCTTGGGAAGTTTTTGGCAGCCTGGTCGCATTCTTTTTCCCATTCCTGACAAACAAGAAGACATAACTATGTGAAAGGACAAGTCAGGAAAACATGGGCAAATTGATTTTTCTCTGTGCAAGCTACGCAGTAGCATTTCCCTACACAGCAATAATGCATAAAGCAGTGGATTTACAGTGGTTAACCGCAAAGAGCTCAAACTGAAACATAATGCCCGATATAATCAAAAATAAGTAGAAGGGTACAGCATCATTAATGTAGGAGTGAAACTGAGATAATAATGGCAATAAAAGCTGGGACATTTGATACAGCTTGTGTTATTTTTACAGAGACTTGGTAACAATTCAAGTCAAACAACATACAGCATGTGGAAACGGATGCAGAGTGTAAAGAAAACAGCAAGTCACAATGCACTTTCTTTAAATATTTCAGGAAATGAGATAAGAAGCATCAATGACAAATGTTTGGTCGGGTAAACAAACGGCTAAGCCAAACAACCTTTAGAAATGAATTTAATTTGTTAATATTAATCATCATTATTCATTCACGTGTCATTTGATGTGCTGTCTGTCTGTTTGTCAAAACATATGTATTTAAATAAGCTAATTCACAGTGAGTCATACAGCGTTATTCTCTATGGCCACACCTGTGATTTTCCACTTGGCAGCTTATTGTTCCTATTTCAGGGCAATTCTCTCTCTGAGGGCAACATTAGTAATTTGTTAAGCTTAACCAGTGCCAGAACCAAATGGCTGCTGATGAGCGTGCTGTTTTCTTGTAACTACCCTTGTCAGCTAGAGAATTTCTGTCACTCCAACAGTGGGATTATGCAGCCAGAGCCAGTCTCTTCCTATAAATGCCATTAATGACATTGCACCAGTTTGCTGCTATCAGCCCAGAGGGTGTTTACAAGACAAAACTCAATTAGGTGTGAATGGAACTAACCTCTGAAAATAACTTATTATACCTGCATTTAACAAAAAAAGCCTAAATTATACTTTAGTTTTAGAAAACATATTGGGCTTCGTAATACCCATCAGTACATGTAATCAGTACATTAAAATTACATGTAAAACTGAGTAAACGTATAGAATAATTACTGTAATAGCAATGCAATGGAAATGATATTAATAATGTTCCATAATCAGCAGTGTTATAATTGATATTCATCTATGCTATTGGTTTAAGTATGAACAATTGGCGTCTCAGAGATACTCACAATGTTTCCTGCATGAATGGCAGCAATAATGTGGCAGGTCTTACCCATAACTCACTGTATTTTAATCTAAACTATAATTTGCCTTCTACCTAACACATTAGTATTGGTGCTTTAACTTAAACAAACAGTTAAAACAAAACTGAAAACTGAGTGAAACATCAGTTTTAACCTTATAATAGACATTCAAATGATATTTAAAGGTACACTGCATATAATGGTCGGAAAATGTTTTTATAAACAAACTCTTAACCAATTTGTAAACAAACAACCACTTTGCTTACTGGTAATCATATATGTGTTGGTGTAAAATAAAGATGTGGTTATTTTTCTTTTTTTTAAATAAATCTTTCCATTTTTTCTAAACTTCCACTTTTATTTAAAACAAAATAATTGGGAGTGTAGATTTTTTTGCTACCTCGTGAAGCTCTACCCATCTATCCTTCAAGCTCTTGCTTTCAGTTTTCCTCTGTAATACCCAATCATATTTACATTTTGCCAATTAACCTAATTAGTTGAAAATTTGTCTCTTCATTGTTCAGCTCACTTTTCCAGCCTTTTGTTAGCCTCAATTTAAACATTTGATATGTGCATATAAAATTTGAAAACCATTGTATTGTGTGTTCATTTACATTTTACACGGCTTCAAAACTTTTTGGTTAAAGTGAGGATGCTGTCTGGGTAGAGCAGACAGATAATTAGGATGTTGGACTTGGTAATGTAAATTCAGCAATTCTTATTATTGTAGTATATCTGGACTTTGTGTCAGGGAGGTTCAGGTTAAAGGGTGTTTAAAAATGCTTAGTTTGAGTTGTTATATACTCCTCTGTTGGGTTTTGTTTACAAAAGTTCAGAGTTGCAAAATGTGTGAAAAAAACTTTTGGTCACACCTTTTTCTAATCCCAATCCCTAATCTAACAATCTTCCAGGTCACGGCTGGAGAGAGTGATATCTTTTAAATAAAACATCAGAAAGGAATGAAACTAAACAGAAGCTCACCTTGTGGCTTGGCATCATGCAGCAACTTCCGATCTGCAGAAACACACAATATCATTTAAGCGTTAGCTGATTCAATCACTGCCTGCGTGCAAATCCACGCTGGTGCACACTGTGTGTGATGTATGTGAAACAAAGTGTTTGAATAATGAAGACGGATGAGGGCGTTGCTAATGAGCATGATTATCATGACGATCATGATCTAGCCCACACTGCCAAAAATTATGAACAGTAAGTCTATGATGACACAGTCAATGAACACAATGGGACTGACAGTAATGGTGCTAAATCACTATATCTTTTTCTCCTTTTTAACCAGTGAAGTGTGGAGCTGATGTTACCCACTCTGTGTACAGAGGCCGCCTGTGCAGTTTTCTGTAGCCACTGCCACCCCGTCACACAGTCGCCCCCCATGCTTGGGCTCCGGAGCAGTACACTCTCTGCTGCGCTGCCTCTCGCAGTCCGAACTACACGTTGACCACTCACTCCACTCTCCCCAGCCGCCATCCACTGCAGGGGCAAACACAAAGATAGAGCCATTGAATGTGAATACATGCACATGTTACTGTATAAAGAAATGCAAGTGAAACACAACAGGAACTAAAAAATGCATGCTACTCATACTCCAGGTTTAAGTGTATTTTTTAATAGCTCTGTGGAACTTTACAGCAAAACACTTTCAAGGTAACAGTTGCACAACTAAAAATAATGTCCCACTTAAAGTGTCAAAAACATGTACAAAGCTGGTGTTTCTGATCTGGAGCATAAAGAGACTCCATCAATTCGCCTTTCTAAAAGATCCCCTCTTCCTGCTAATCTGAAAGCAAAGGCATCCTGTTTATGTTCAAACCCAGATGCAGAGAAATAATCTGTCAGAAGGAGACATTTGGCAAAGAGGAGATAATGTTTGGAGGAGTGCACTGTACTCGACTGATAATTTTTTTTTAAAACTTAAACCTGATGAGCGTTTTTCTTTATACTCCACTGTGGTTGAAATCATAAATTTGGGCTTGCCTATAAAAGAAAAAAAAAAACACACGGGTAGAGGCGCAATTTTAATAACTCCTACTTCCTCTTACAGCCTGAGATTCTACTCTTAGCTTCTCTCTCATGTTATCTTCACCCCTCTCTATTTGTGCATCTTTCTCCTCTTGCCAGACATTTTCACTTCATTAGTTGTTTCACAGGTGCACTGCATTTGATTTCAGATAACAACCCACTGTCACCAGTGCATTGCAGATGCTTTCACTGTAAAACTCTGATGTTGAAAGAAGACTAGTGCTAACTATAAAACCTACCCAAAGCTTTTAAGACAAGTGTCATGGCATATGTTATATCGAATTTCTGTAAAAAGATTGAAGGATAGGAGCAACAATTTGTGGTTAAATAGTGGGTCTTGTGCTGCACAAAAAATACTTTGACTGTAGCTCCTGCAAAAACCCAAATAATAGTATTTAGACTGAGATTTCTGGACCAATTAAACAATGTTTACGGTTCATCACTGAGTTTTTGGTTATAATTTTTATTTGTTTATTACAAAACACAAAGTTTCAGTTCTCTCCAAACAGAGACTGAAAAAGTAAGCCAACTATTTTTTACATTTAGACCAAATAATGAAAAAGAAGTTAAATAAAGGCAGTATTACTAAACTATTTATGCTATTATATGTAATCTTGTGTATATGTGCTAATGATATTTACATATTACTTAGGTACAGTATATTCACAAGGATGTTATACAAATAGTATGTAAATATAAATACATTTTGTACAATGACAGAGGAAGAGTTTTGTTAGCTTCTTGTTTTGCTAGCTGTCAGTCCAGCAATTATTCCAGTTTCTATTCTTTGTGAAACGTAAAGTAAAGCTAACCATCTACAGAAATCTAGATTTTGTTGCAAAGACACAGGTGCTGTATTGTATTGATCTTATGCAAATATTCTCATGAATGCAAATATGTGGATTTTCACAATAACAAGTGATTTCTGCAGAATAAACTACTTGAACAATACAGACTTTCAACAGTCATAAATCTAAAATTTGCACATCTTATCTGGCAACTGTAAATCTTTTATTTAACCCATAGCTGTAAGGTGCAAGAGAAGCTTCAAAAGGTCAGAATTAGTAACACTAAAACATGCTCTTTATCACTAAGAGTGAAAAGAACATGCTATTGCTCTTACCTGGACACACTGTGTTGCAGGTACTCTTCTGAACTGACATGCCCTCACAGAAGGCTCCACCATTGAGAGGCGCTGGATTTGTGCAAGTGCGAGAGCGTTTTTGCACACCTCGACCGCAGCGCACGTTACAGGGAGACCAGTCCGTCCAGGATGACCAGCCACCATTCACTGCACATGTCAGAAGAGGAGGGAAAAGGTATGAAGAAACACTAAAGGAATTCTGGCCTGCATCGCAGTCAGAGGATTCACTCAAAGGCGGTAATGAACATCAGAAAAAAAAGATCAGTAGTGTCTTCCCTTCTGTCAATGTACACTTATTTCTCGGATATGTCTCCTAAAGTAATGTAGGATGATTGACTAATGAGCTCATTTGTTGTCATAGGAAAGGAAGAAATACTACTGTTCCATTATTGTACATCTGTTGGAGGCTATTGGGAATAGTAAGCTTGTCAGGGACTTCATTAGCATTATGGAAATTAATGATTGATGGACCGGAGCAATGGGATGTCAGAAAGAATGAGATGTATTCCTGCAGCAGTTAAATGCCTTCTTTAAAAGAATAAAAATAACAGGATGAAAGGTCAGAAAAATGAACAATGAGACACTTCATTTAAGGCTGCCCTTCAGTGTAAAAGGAGTTTTTACTAGTATGACACTATTTCACTCTCTACAGCCCTGATATTTGGTGCAATTCACAACAAAAGTCACCTCAAGGCACTTTATATTGCAAAGTAAGGACCCTACAACACTACCAAGAAACAACAACAATCACATGACCTCCTGTGAGCAAGCACTTGGTGACAGTAGGGAAAAAAAACTCCCTTTTAACAGGAAGAAACCTAATTAAACTATACTTAGACTTTTTTGAGCAGTTTTGAAGGAATAGGGTCTAAAAGGCACATTGATGGTTCAGAGGGATAAATTACTGTGACCTTAACTCAACAAGGTTTATTGGGGAGAAATAAATAAGAGGTAAATATTAGCAGTTAAGTTGCTGTGACATATCTGTGGGACAGCTGTGAATCTATTTTTTTCTCTCTAATTTTTAACATCTTGTCTCTGAAGAAAGTAATTTCTAGTTAAGGTTAAAGGAATGAGCTCTGACTATTTGTCAGCTTGGCTACAGCGATGAAAAGAAGCATGTGGTTGTTCGCATTTTTCTCAATCAGTGACAAACAGTGAGGTGTCTTAGCTTTAAGGAGGACTTAAAAAATGAAGTAACAAACCATTTTTCCAGCCCAAAAGAATATCTTCTTGATGAGTGCAGCACTATTTCCTTTCCGACTTGCATGTTATCGGCTTTAAGGCAGATTTTACTATCTAACGAGCCACAGTATCCAGGGTCTTATGCACTGAGGATCTAACACTATTAACAAGATAATCAACCTCGGTGTGAGTAAAGCTTAGTTAGCTGCTAACTGAATACCATAATAGTGAAAACTGATATTCTGATGTAGGCAAGACTATTCTTCAACACTACTGTAATAAGTTACCAGGCAAATCTACTCTCATGATTTTTTGTCAGAGATAAAATTGCAAAATTAAAAGAACTGTAATCTTACCATAGACTATAACAGTAGCAGTGGCACTGCGTCGCTTGGCCACAATGTTGCTGGCAACACAGGTGTAGTTTCCAGAGTCAGACAGCCGGGCCTCTGAGATGATCAGGTTGTGGTCACCTTTTTTCTCCATGATATTACCATCATCAAAGCTCAGGTTTTCCTCATTTTTCAGCCAATCCACCTGAAAACAAAAGTATGTCAAATTCATTCAGGCAGACAAACATCTGATAACCGGACAGATGTGAGTGATAAAAAAGCAAATACACGTAAAAACATCTGGTGGAATGTTTCAAAACGTATCAGACTAATTTAAAAAGGGTCAGTAGTTTGATAGAGTATCACAAAAGGCTTTCAGAGGTAAAGTGAACTTCACCCAAGGTTACACGAGAAAACAGTTCAACAATTTGAACTGAATATAACTGCAAAGGCTCTCTTTCATCATCTATGGTACACAAAGCGTTAAAGAGACTGTACTCAGTGCAGGAGAAGCAGGGTAAAAACTAGTAATGGCCGTATTCTTGAGGCCGTCAGGTGGAAGTGCATTAAAGCAATTTTATTTCTAAGTGCTGTCAGTCAACACAATTTGTCATTAAATCTGCAAATGTAAGTTAAATCTTGACCATGCATACAAAAAACCCCCCCAAATGCTTCAGCCATGAAGTAGGATTTCTAAAGTAATTAGTCTTTAGAAATCATGGACACTTTGTCCCGTGGGCAAAAGAGAGATCGTCTGGTTTGTTAACGACTGTACTATAAAAAGCCAGTATTTGTGATATGCACAAATGACATATGGCATTAGTAAGAGAGCCTTTGAAGGCACCATCAATAGTAAATGATGTGATACATGAAGCGTTTTTCTATCTACCTGTTTAATTAAACATTACAAGAACATTTTTAAGAGTCCCCAATATTTGAGGGAGAAAATTTAAGACAACAATTCATTACCCTTAAAAGTTATATTATTCCCTTTTAGTAATTTAATTAAAACTGAGTATATTTCTCCACACTCACAGTTTCAACATGGCTGGTAACTGGTTCAAAATCCAGTTAGTTATGTGCAGGTCACTGTAGTATAACAGTAGAAACATTTTGCTACAATTGTTCCTTTATGAAGATTGCATACAGTACAGTATTTGCTAACAAATGCTTCACAGTCGTGCTGATTGAAGCGTGCATTTTGCATTTCATCATGTAAAGAAGTCTCTGTTCTCCCGTCTTGACAAAAAAGGAGAGGACAAAAATTGAAACACGTCCCTCACTACATTTATGAAGATATGTAAGGGGACACATTTTGATTGCAAGATTAGGGGGTTGGGAAGCACAACACATCTGACAACAGCTCAGAGTAAAGTGATGTAGTAGGTAGGTCACATCCTCCAGCGTTACCAATTCAGTGGCCATGTAGTGAGTGAAACCAATAAGGAATTACAAAATAAAAGACGCTCAGTTGATGCTCCTCTCCTCGCATGACTGGCCCTGTAAATTGCTATTAATGTGCCAGTAGCTTGAGCTTTTCATTCAGAGAGACGAGCTAGGGCACGAGGATTGCGCTTTGATTTATGGCAGTGTATTTGAGGATTAAAAACTCCGCCCCACTGGGAGAGCCATGTGTTTGTGCATGGGGTTGTACTCCAGTGTGTGAGTAGCATGTGTGTTTGTGGATAGTGTCCATTTGCCAAGGGAATGTAACTACAGCCAACAAACTCAGAGATTGCTTTGCTCTTTCAAAGCACTCTAGATGAAAAAAAAAATGAGCTAGGAAATCAATAAATCTGGAGTCATGTTGTCACAAGCGTTTTTTGCTCCTTTTGATGGCCCAAGAAGTCTTTCATCATGTAGCTTTTTTTTTCATGAATTGGCTCCGCTGCTTTCAAGACATACAGTACCAAGTGCTCATACTAGTGTGCAACATTGCGCCTTCATCAGTTCTTTCTTTATAATTCACTCTTTCACAGCCAGTGTCTAATCAACTCCAGTGTTTGTCATGGCTGGTCCGTCTTGTCAGTTATGAAAGCAGTCAGTTTTGACCTTCTACAAAATGGAGCAAATATAATTGAATAATTTCATACAAAATGAGCCCATTTTACAAGCTTATTCATGTAATCGCATTATTTTCTTGTAGTCTGCTTTATGCAAGGATTGACAGCAAATAGTGACCCTTACTTCTCAAATAGTAATAAATGAGTTGAAGTGATTGATTGGTGAGCTTTGTTGTTTTTGCTGGGGTTAACAAACAAACAAACCGTGGAGTTGCAAAAACTGCAGTTCTTCAAATGGTCACTTGACACTGGCTTGTACCCATCTTTCATTTAGTCTGCAAGCCTACAGTAAATGAAAGACAGGCACTTAGATAGCTGCTAAGCTTCACATCAGCTAATTCAAACTGAAATGGAAGACTCGACCATGTTTGTAGTGTTGATGCCTAACTACCTAAATGACTTGTTGCTTGTTAAATTGTAATGAGATCCCATCTCAAAGGCCAATACTGTATGTCACCATGAGACATTAGGTTTATAAGATATGCACTTATCTCACCCCTTATTTCAGAAAATAGCTGAACTAAAAATGGTCTACATTATATTACTCACTTAATGTATATTATAGTCATATGGTGTGGAATATATGACTATATCGAAGCTTAACCTCCAGTGCTTTGTTCTCATATTCAGATGGGATGAATATTTAGAGCAAAGTGTTGAAACTGAGTTTGACAGGTATCAAGATGTAACTATTACACTGTGTAAATTAAATATATTTCAATATTAAGTGGATAATATGTCACCACAAGAAACACTGAGCAAAACAAATTGCATTGTTTAAAATAAGAACTCGCATCTGCATCTTTTACATAACACAATGACAAACCTAATTTGTTCCACATGCAGGTGGAAATGTTTCATAAATTAGATATCAAAACAATGGAGGAAAGCATTTTTCCCATTTACACCACATTTAAGTGTCAAAGTGAAAAAAACAATACAAAGGTAAATCACCGCGGTGCTATAACTGGACTAAATGACAGGACTATATGACAACATGATACATTTAAAACAGAACCACATTTCTCTTGCGTTCAACTCAAATGTGAGGTCCAAAATCTGAAATAAAAATGCAACTCAACATTAAAAGCTTTTTTTGGCACGGGAATGACACTGTATTATATGATACTTTATGTTACCCTTCCCCACCTTTCCCTGTGTTTATTGTAGCTCTCTACCTATGCAGATGATAAACTATATATTACAGTTAAAACAAAAAAATCTATGAAAGATATCCATGAAATGGCAGAAGATTTGCTGTTTAAGATCAGGGTAATTGAAATGATGCTATCTTTCCTAAGTAGAGTGAGCTATCAAACATTCATGACTTTTTATTTCTTCTACTCTAACCACTGGGAAATCGGGAATTATTGAAAATGTAGGTCCATCGGGATTTGCCAGTAAAGAAGCACTTTGATGCCAGAGTCATCCTGGAGAACATTTCAAATCCACTCTTGGGGCTTTTTACTCAGCAGCATTTCATTTAACCTAATTTGTTCAACTTGACAATCAAAACTTAATTACATTAGGGTTTCCAGGACACACTGTAGGTATGTATTTGTAGATATAGATGGCTAGTTAGCTGGTTGAGGTATTCTGTGACATAGACTGTAGGTAAAAGTCACTGTGACATTAACAGTTCATCTGCTATAAAGCTTTGAGGTTAGCATTTAGGCTTTCCCAAACTTGGTGTGTTGAAATTGATCGTGAAAATATCCTGCCCTAAGACAAATCCTAGCTAATCAGTCCTTTAGAGATCCATTTAAAACCAGGAAATGCAGAGGAACCAAATATTCAGTAGCTGAAAAAAGAAGCCAAAATGTATTCTTATAATGACATTGGCAAAGAAACTATTTATTTACTATTTATTACGCATTAGTCATGCAATGGTACCAGTACCAGTAAAAACAGAGTTGCATTTGATGCTTTTCTGTCCTAGCTTTACTTCTCTCACACATAAGCCTACAAAGAAGGACAATTTTAAAACTGTTAAATTTACATCACCAGTTGAAACTGAGAAGGCACTGCTTGCCAACTAAGACAGCAAACTTCAGAGAAACTGGCACACATGCAAACCCATTGTGCCACTCCACAGTAACTAGAGATTAAACATTTCAGTTGTACACTCCAGAATGTGTTATACAAACAATAAGCACTGACTCCTGAAGACAGAAGTTGTCAAGTATGTGGAGATTCATTAGAAGGCTGTTATTACATGAATTTTACAGTAAACACTGCAGTATTGTAAAGATACATGTTCTTTTACATTTTTGGTCTCACATATAGGTATGTTTGAATTTTACTTCTTCAATAGTTCCCTTTTGTTATCTTCTTACTTATGAAGGTTGCTGGTCTATGTACACAAACATCCAGTGTTCACAAGTGCATTACAAAATTATTATTCAACACAATTAATATAAAATAAAAAAGATTTACTGACTGCCATTTCACAGCTCAACATGTTATATTATTTATAAAACCGAGATGAAGGAGGATGGCTGTGATGTGGACATCTAGGTTTCCGAGCTCATTCTTACAACCACTCTTACAAAAACGTTTCTAATCAACTCTTTTTAGGTGGTATTGATAGAAAGTAACCCATGTTTGAGTGGTAAAGTATGGATTGCTGGTGTATAGATCTCTCTCATCCTTTCTGCAATGCCGTTGAATTAGTTAGGTTGCTGTTTGTCTCAGAAAATGATTCCAGGTTCCGTACTGTTTCGCTGTAAGGAATGTGCTTTCATTTTGAATCAGTGTGTTCCAGTTGTATTATATATGTTAGTTTCTTAACTTAAGATTTTTAAAGTTATATGTGATTAAAAAAAGATGCACATGTACACTTTTAGAAGTAGTGTGGGTGTTTGTGTTTGTGGATAGAATTTAACAGGCAACCAAAACAGAAAAGAAGCAGACTGAGAGATTAATGTAATGATTTTTTTTCATGCTAACATTATCCTAATTTCTAAACTGTGATGGTGTTTGATTCTCATTCACATCGTGGTAAAGGGCATCTGAGATTGAAAAAAAGGATTTGTGAAAGTACATAATAAGAAGAGAAAGATGAAGCTTAATTAAACCATTAAACAGCAGCTGTTGTACTATTCAATAAAACTGACCAATAATTATCTCTTTATCCTCTCTG